GAATTCCTATGCCCAAACTATTGAACCTTGTAAACCCGCCGCCAGCCTTGCGCACGTGGCTCGGTTTGCCGCCTATGAAGCTGATGTCCCACATGGCAGCTCAATGCGAAGTCGGAAGATGGTCTCAGAAAAAACCAATAACTGGACACCAGCTGTAGCCGCCACTGAAGCTGCACTGTCTGTCCTATCTCTCTCGCCTCGTCGCGGTAGCAGAATCATGACAAAATGACTGGATAGTGTTCACATTTGCCTCCGCGAAAAACAGCGTTCAGCAATACACAAATGTGCAAAGAATCTGTGAAGATCCGTTTGTCCAAGATAGGCTTGGCTTGTCTTTTGATACAATTTCGACATTACGCGACTAGCGAGCAGCGTGTTGGTCACTAGCTGATGTAGGACTCATTTCAAATATGTTTATATGTTCCTTGTGTGGGCAGTCTATGATGGAGGTCTTCTTCTTATAAGTTTATAATAAACTTGAGCGACGAGCGAGACGTTAAATGCATATCGCGCCACGATAATAAGAAATTGTTCCTGCCTACAAGTATTCTTCTAGGAGGTATATCTATGAGGATCGGCCCAAACAAGTATGCCTTACTCCAGGCTCTCCTAGGAGAATGATGCGATGGACATGGGGATCTTTTCTTAACAAGAATTGACTCCGCAGGTTGATGCTTGCAGGCGGAAATCATTTCTACACGAGATCCTAGGCCCTGCAAATGCAAGGTTGGCTCTGTAAAACCTCACATGGTTAATGTTCTTTAAATCGCTTTAGGAATACTAACGCGTAACTAAGATAGCAAGCCTGAATAATCCGTATTTCCGTTTACGATCGAAATTAGCTGTAAAACCTGACAAATTAACCGGAATAGTGATCATTTATAGAATTTAGAGGGAGAGACTAGAGCAAGCTCGAATGGCGTATTTTTCGGCGAGTACAAAATCATGCCAGGAAGTGGTGATCATTTGCCATAAATCAGACCACGGCGTTATATTAACTTTTATTTAAACCTATCAACTGTTGAGAATGCGCCGCGAGGGAGATGCTATGACTAGGAGCTATACACCTAGAACGCTGGTTAGTAAGTTCCTTGTTTAATATAATGAACATAACCCGTATTATGATGACAACAAGTTACAGGCGTATAGCCAGCGAAATACTTCGCCCACAATTAACGAATAGCTCATAAATTATATTAAATATATGCGCATGGATAAATAGCAAGCAGAACGAATTGAGCGCCTCTCCTCTATTCCTTACCAAACATTAGTCCATACGTAACGCGTACAGAGCGGAAGTCCTTAGCGAGAAGCGGTTAGTGACGAATTCCTACTCCAGCAATTGATTGCACGGGGTCATTAGCAAAACTGTCCGTGCTTAGGTATCTGTGACACAGGGCCGTGCGCCAATGGCGCTGACGAGAAAAAAATCGTCATTCTAATGAGCTGAAGCAATGAATTATATTTGATTGTAGTACATATATATATACTTCATAATGTCGTCATAGGCACAACATAACAAAAGCACATAAACGAGTGGCATTGCCCACGTTTCCCTTGTCCAGTATGTATTATTGCTATGTATCCTATATTATTGCGTTATATGTGAAATCGACGAGTTTAATAATGGATGATGTTTTCTTATAGTCTTCATAATGCTACTAAGTTAACGCTATGCCATTGACCATTGAAACTGCGAAACAAACTATATTAGAACGCACGAGCGCATGCGTATTACTTACCAGCAGAGAAAGAGCAGGCGGTTGCCGATTCCGTTTAGCCCAATGCCGTTCAGTGCGTTAGCTAGTTACCGAATTCCTTCGGTGAGTACGGGACGAAAGCACACCGAAGCGCCTTTATTTGAGTACCGCATAAGAAATGTCACGCAAGAACCCTCCGCAGCACACAAGCCAGCCCCATCCCCATCTGGTGTGGTTTGGTCTATCACTGATTTTTCCAACCATCACCAGTGTCTTGTCTTCTGCCTAGACGATGGGCTGTCCTTGGATATTAATTTCTGTTCGTGATCGCTCGCGAAAGTCTTATTCGTGACGTAATGTCAGGCTGACGGCCTTGGTCTCTAGTGACGCGTCACCTTGGGTAACAGCCTCTCTTAGCGATGTCTAAGTTTCCTAGTGCTCTCAGCTTATGTTAGGTATAAATATAAATGTATTATCAGTTTTACAAGAGTGCGTCGTACAAACGCTCTACATTTGTCGCTTGTCACTGTAATCACTTGTATGTTTATCTCACTGTCCACAGAATTTAGCCGATATGGCTCTCGTGCCCATCAAAAATTTCGTCTATACTCGAAAAAGCAGCAATAGAATACTTACGTCTACGCGAAAGCACATCTCTGTTCAGAATTATATTACGGAGGGGTCTATATTAATATATGAAATATGGGGCCCGGGCACGTACAGGCGAGGAGAGGAGAGGAGAAGAGAAGGGGGGAGAGGAGGAGATGGAGGAAGATGGGTGGCCTCTGTAATAGAATTGATTCGGCTAAAACCATTGGTTCAGGCCGTCTGGCAAGAGCTTACCCCAACCAGAATAACCGAGGTAGATCAATCTGAGTAAGGACTCACGTTCAGGTGAATAGTGGAGTGTATACTGCGTCATTGACTAGAAGTAGGAGAAGCACGGAGAACTTTGGCTCAAGTATTTGACGTGGTTTAATAATCTAAATAAGCAGGGATGGAGTTCCAAAGTCGATTAAAGTAGAGGGTTTGGGCAAGAGGGGATAAGAGGGGATAGAGAGGAGAAAGAATGAGCTTAGGTTTGTGCTTTAAAGGAGAAAGATGTCGGACCGGAAAACAATAGGTTGACGATAAAAGATGTGACCGGCCGACGGGTTAGTCAGCATGGCAGGCGGGCGGTTGGAAGTAGGATAGTGGGATAGCATGAGAGGAGCATGAGAAACGAGGTTGAGAGCGGCAGTTGTGTACATGTAGGGTGCAGCGGGGTCAGGTTGTTGCCGGGCACGGGACGCAGGCAAGACGTCCTTGGTAATAGTCTTAGAAATGTATAAAGGAGAAATGGATTCTTGAAGTTGTGGGAGAGGTGGAGAGCTGGGGAGGGAAGGTTGGGAAGAAGATGAGCGGAAGACGGAGGAGGTGCGAGGGGGCACGAGTGGTGCGGTGCCTGATCGAGAGCTGCGAGCGCAGCTGTGGAGGCTTGGGAGGAAAACAATAATTACTATGTTGCTGCAACACAGACTTGACTTGGATTAATGGGGAGAGTGTTAGTCAAATACTTCATGCGCAACAACGAATCTACACGTTGTGAGAGCACGAAAATGTTTACCTCCATCCATCTGTGGTTCGCTATCAACTAAGGCGGTGGTCTGTACGTCTTTTTTCCTGGTCAGCCGATAGAGTAACCCACATTGGCTGACAACACACACCATGCAGCTCAGACCCATAAAGTAGAAGGACATGTCTGTATCTCCGGTTACATCCAGCAACCAACCTGCGGGAAATCAAACGGATGTGCAATCCTATGAAGTACACGCTTGAGTTAAATTGCAGATACCTGAACGTACCTAATTATTATTTTTAACTGAATCAGCTGTCTGTCATGTGTATGTTGTATATTTTGTTTTATGTTTGCATATTTGCGACAATTACTAGATTTCTCTGTATCGAATACCTTCATGGGCAGTTACATCTGTCCTTGCACAGATCTCCACAGAAAGTGTGACATATAGTTGTCACATATAGTAACAGTTACGTAACTATGTTCGTAATTATCTGCACATACCACACGTATCATTATTTAGCACGTGAAATACTTGAGTCCATCGCATCTACATGAATCGGAAATTAGTGTATCAAAAATAACAAGTATTAGTAAACATGTTGTAAAAAAACAACTGCGAACATATAGGGTAGGCCTATATGTATATGGCAAATAAGCGTGAACATACCTACTGTTACCGGTCCAACGAGAGATGCTAGTCCGCCACAGGTAAGTAGCAGTGCTAGACCGTCCTTATACAGATCCACACCAGACATATCCATCAGAACGATGAAGGACGTTACCATGTATCCAGAGGTGACTACTCCCAGGAGGGCACTGTTTATAATTTGCAGTTGCGTAGTACGCATTAACGGATACATAATTACGAAAAATCCTATGCCAAAGATGAACCCTGTTAGACCAGCCAGTCTGCGAGTGGGTTTTCGCATGAAGCTGATGTCCCACATGGAGCTCAGTGGAAGCCGGAAGATGGTCTCAGAAAGACCAATAATGGACACCAGTGTAGCGCCACTGAAGCCCTCGCTGTCTGCTATCTCCTCGCCTCGCGTCGGTAGCAGAATGAAAATTGACTGGTATGCAATTTGTGCGAAAAACAGCGTCATGCAATACACAAATGTGCAAGAATCTGTGAAGATCCGTTTGTCTAAGATAGGCTTGCTGTTTTTGATAGAATTTCGCATCCTAGCGAAGCAGGATTGTGGCTCACTAGCTGATGTAGGACTCATTTCAACATTGTTATATGTTTCCTTGGTGTGGGAGTCTGATGGAGGTCTCTTCTTAAAGTTTCTAAATAAACTTGCAGCGACGAGGAGGTTAAATGATATCGCGCCACAGATAAGAAATGTTCCTTGGTACAAGTATTCTTCTAGGAGGTATTCTATGAGGATCGGCCAAACAAGTGTGCCTACTCCGGTTCCTAGGAGAATGATGCCAATGGACATAGACCTTCTCTTAAGAAAATGCTCCGCAGTTGACGCCTGCGACGGAATCATTTCTAACGATGATCCTAGCCCTGCAAATGCAAGTTAGTCTGTAAAATCTCAAAATTAATTATCTTTGAATCATTCTAAGAATCTAAGGGTAACTACAGAAGCAAGCTGAATAACGTATTTTCATTTACGAGTACAAAATTAGGTTGTAAAACTTGAGAAATTAACGATTTGAACCTATAACCGTTGAGAATCGCCGGAGAGATTGCTTGATTAGGAGGCTATACACTTATAACAATAGGTTAGTACGTCCCTTGTTAATATAATGACATAACCCGAATTAGATGACAACAAGTCATCAGATAATAGCAGCGAAATATTTGCACAATTAACGAATAGCTAATAATTTATTAAATATACGCCACGAGTAAATAGCAAGCAGAACGACGAGCTGCTCCTTTTATTCTTACCAAACATCAGCCCATACGTGAGATAAAGGAGCGGAAGCCCTTTAGCAAAGTACGTTAGTGACATTCCTACCCCAGCGATGATTGCACCGGGTATAGCAACTGTCCTGTAGGAGTATCTGTGACACAGCGCTGTCGTAAATGTCGCTGACGAGAAAAATGATGACGACGTTATACACGGACAACATTACTTACGTGTCATAGCACAACATAAGCAGTATGTTACAGTTCACATTATAACCCTTGTCAGTATTATATTTGATATATATATATATA